TACCTTTTCCTAGAAAAATCAACTATAAAAAGGAGGAGATCTCAGCATTTGTAAAAAAAAAAAATATCATTGAGATTACATTGAAATACAAACTTATTTACTGCTTTATTATTCTCAAAAATTCCTTATTCTTTTCGTCTCCTGATTATCAGTAACCCGATTTTTTCTCTTAATTTCTAGTTTTAACCGAAATTCTATTTTTTGGTTAAACAAATTGGTTCCGTTACCGGGAATCTGATAATCAAGCATATCTCAATCTAATTTTCTTGATTACATCAATCATGTCGAACAACAATGACAACATTCAAGGAAACCCAGAATTCAGACAGTCCAACAACTTCAGGGAGATTCCCCACAAGGTTCTCCACGAGGTTCCCCACGACGATCTCGTGAAGGCACTCCTGATGGATCTTATACAGATGGACAAGCTCAATTCGAAAACGTTGAAACCATGAATGAGGCTCTGCAAAAACTTATTGCCTCTCAAGTCAATAACGCTCTCCAAGCTTTTGTTCGCCAATTGCCTGCTGTTCCACCCACGTCTGCTCCAAACAACAACACTTCGGAGAATCCTCGTTCAGGGTTGATTAATTCTGGCAGCGGTGGAACCCCTAGTGAAACACAAGAGAGAGACCCAGGTAATCCAGTTAATTCTGATTTACAAAGTCTAGTCCTAACCTTGCAGAAACAACTCAAGGAGCAAAACGAACACATAGAACAAATACCTGGAGTACCGCCCGTGATCAAGGGCGTGGATATAGATAAATATTCCCAACAACCATGGAAGCCAAGTGCTGCTCCCCTTCCAATTCCAAAGAAGTTTAAAATGCCTGATATTCCAAAGTATGATGGTACATCAGACCCACGAGATCACGTTACTGCATTCACAACAGGTGTCAAGGGAAATGATTTGACTAAGCAAGAAATTGAGTCGGTCTTGGTCAAAAAATTCAGTGAAACACTCATTAAAGGAGCCCTAACATGGTATTCCCTTTTACCTGAAAATTCTACAAATTCGTTTGCTGAGCTTGCTGATTTATTTATCAAAGCACACTCGGGAGCTCAAAAAGTTAAAAAGCGAATGGAAGATATCTTCAAAATCAAGCAAGGAGACTCAGAGTTGCTTAGAGAGTTCGTAGATAGATTTCAACGAGAAAGAATGACGCTGCCACGAGTACCTGACAATTGGGCAGCCATAGCCTTTGCTAGTAATTTAAATGAGAAGAGTTCAGAAGCCACGAGGCGACTCAAAGAAAGCCTTCGAGAATTCCCAGCAACAACGTGGAATGATGTCTACAACAGATACAGCACAAAGATGAGGATTGAAGAAGACATTATTTTACGACATAAAACAGAAGAAAAGGTAAGTTCAAAGCGTATGGAAAATGAAAAGAGATCCGGTAAAAACAGGTACGAGCCATACATGGGACCTGCGGGAAAGGACTCACGGTCAAGACAAGATAATCAAAGGTACGATCACAGACCTAGGAACAGGGAATCAGGCTCCTCATCAAGGTTTGGGAACGATCGAAACACACGCGGGTCACGAGACGATGATGGAAGTTTGAAGGCAAGATTTGGTGGGTATAATTTCAATGTCACTACCTCCGAGCTCGTAGCTGTTTTGAGGAGCATGGGGGATAAGGTACGGTGGCCGAAAGAGATGCGGTCAAATCCCAATAAGCGCAATCCAGATCATTGGTGCGAATTTCACAATGATCACGGGCATAAAACTTCAGAATGTAGATTTTTGCAAAGTGAAGTGGACCATCTATTGAAGCAAGGGTATCTCACCGAGTTATTTAGTGAGAAAGGTAAGCAAGCCTACATGAAAAATAGGCAAGAACCACCAAAGCCCCCATCACCCAAGAGAACCGTGAATGTTATAAGTGGGGGAGAAGATATTTATGGAGTAACATATACGGCTTCAAATAAAGTTTCCAAAGTAAAAATCACACACGGGAAGCCAGTACGACAGACCTTAGAAGATGAAAGTATCACTTTTGATGATGCAGATACAGAAGGAGTGATCACCCCCCACAACGATGCACTGGTAATATCTTTACTTGTACATGACACTAATGTAAAACGAGTTTTGATTGATCCAGGTAGTTCCGTAAATATTATACTACTAAGGGTATTACGGGAAATGCAAGCTAAAGACAAAATGATACCGAAGGCGCATACCTTGTCCGGGTTCGACAATTCAAGTGTAGTAACAAAAGGAGAGGTAGTTCTAACAACTTTTGCTGCAGGTGTTGTTAAAGAAACTAAATTTCAGATAGTAGATATGGAAATGGCTTATAATATGATCATGGGGAGACCTTGGATCCATGATATGGATGCTGTCCTATCAACTCTACATCAAGTTATTAAATTCCCTCCATGGGGAATATGCCAAATCAGAGGTGATCAACAAACATCTAGGAGCATCAATTCCGTTGCAGATTCAATTGTTAATAGTGGAGACAAATAGCAATTACAGAATTTAGGTGAGGGTAACATGGAAACAACCTCACCTGAGCAGAAGCAAACAGATCTGGACTCAAGACATGATACCATTCAAGAACCGGAGGAGAATGATAACATCAAAACATCGATAGAAGAGCTAGAGGCTGTGGTGTTATTTATACATTGGCCCGAGAGAAAAGTGTACATAGGAGCTAATCTTAGCCCGGAGGTAAAACGTAAGTTAATTGAATTTTTAAAAGCTAATGCAGACTGTCTTGCTTGGTCCCATTCTAACATGACAGGGATACCACCGGAAGTTATGACTCATAAGTTGAATGAAGATCCATCATATCCTCCCGTCAAGCAAAAGAAAAAAAAGCAAGGAACTTTCAAAAATAAGGTGATTCAAGAGGAAGTTCAAAAGCTACTAAATATTGGTTCAATTCGTGAGGTAAAATATCCTAACTGGTTAGCTAATACTGTTGTGGTTCCTAAGAAGAACGGTAAGTGGCGAGTCTGTGTAGATTACACAGACCTTAATAAAGCCTGTCCAAAAGATTCCTTTCCTTTACCGCACATAGACCAGTTAATTGATGCTACTGCAGGGCATGAGCTATTAAGTTTTTTAGATGCATATTCAGGCTATAATCAAATCAAGATGGATCCAGGTGATGAAGAAAAAACTTCTTTTATAACAGACAGGGGGACTTACTGTTACAAGGTAATGCCTTTCGGTCTTAAGAATGCAGGTGCAACGTATCAAAGGTTAGTCAC